GTGAGATGGCTCAGTGGTCTAAAGCACCTACTTAGAACAAGCTTAGCAAAGCACAGGGACCACGGTTCAATCCCCCAGCACCACATGCCAGCCAGCCGCGCCCCCTGGTGGACTGAGCTGGCCACACACACACACACATAAAAATAAATTAAAAAAAAAAAAAGAAATAGGGCTGGGGATTTAGTTCAGCAGCACAGTGCCTGCCTGGCAAGCATGAAGTCCCAAGTTCGATTCCCAAAACCAAAAGCCCGGGACAGGAGGCACTAATGTAGCAGTGGGTGGGCATTGTGGCACAACTGTAATCCCAGCACTCCAGGGGCGAAAGCAGGAGAGTTGTCATGAGTTTGAAGCCAGCCTGAGTTACAGAGCAAGACTCAAAACAAATGGAGCAGCAGCATCTAAGCAGGATGCCTGAAGGAGGTGAGGCAGGGGCCCTGAAACTGTTAGTGAGGGTGATGGGCAGTGGGAGCAGCATGTGCAAAGGCCCTGTAATGAACTTGTTGGTGGGTGTAGTGAATTATTAACTGGTGGTCAACTCCTTACACCCAGCTGAACTGAACAAACATGGTGTGGGGTGTGGGAGGCTCACCTGAGGATTGTTGCCATGTTTCTCAGCATGTCTGTTAGGGAAGTTGTTTGGAGAAGCTGTTAGAGCTGTTGGAAGCTTCTGGTTCTCATAGGCTATTCTTTTTTTTTGGCAGAACCAGGGATTGAACTCAGGCCCTTGCGCTTGCCAGGCAAGCGTTTATTCTACTGAGCCATCTCCCTGGCTCCCTCTCATGGGCTATTCTTCTGGAGGACCTTGTCATGCTGGCTTTCCTGGTGAACTTGGCTCAGAGGAGAAGTTTGGGACCTCGTTTTCGCTGAGAATGGCTATGGTTCATTTTGGGGAAACTTGTCCCCCCCTGGCTCTGGAGGGGAAAATGGTACACAGCTCAGTCTCCTGGAGAAGCTCATCATGTTGGCTTTCTCGATAAGAGTTTGGTTGTTCTCATCACTGGAGGAGCTTGGGTCCTCACTGTGGTACCTTTGGGGGTAGCTCTGGTTCTTATCTTGAGCGTTGCATCCTCGCTCCAGTGCAGATCCCTCTGGCTGCCAGCACAGATCCTTCATCCTGCTAGCACAGACTTTCCAGCTTCTGCCACTGACCTTTGGGCCTTTCCAGTGCAGATCTGTGAAGTGGGCCTGCATTGGACTTTGTTGTGGGCTCTAAGGCTCCAAGTGGACTTGTGGGAGGTATTATTATGAGCTCTAGGTCTTACACTGGACTCATGCAGGATACTACTGTGGGATTCAGGCCCTCAGCTGGTTTCTTTCTTTCTTCTTCTTCTTCTTCTTCTTCTTCTTCTTCTTCTTCTTCTTCTTCTTCTTCTTCTTCTTCTTCTTCTTCTTC